AGGTACCATCACATACTTCTAGGATAATAATTAATATAATTACAATAATTTAAAATGGTAGAATTTATTTTGGAAGGGCCTGCATTATTATAACTTTTGCAGATCGTCCGTGTCGCTTTGCCTATACAAGAAAAACAATGAAAGTGTATAAATAAAATTTCATTTAAAAAAACCAAATAAACCGGCAACGAGTTGCTCAACTTTCCCGGTATCATTAAGAATTTTGATGGTTGTGCCATCTGTTATCATATTTTATTAAAAACCCTTTTTATATTTTTAACTATTATAAAATGGCAAGGCGTGTCAAAAAATACAAAATTTTTGGGTGGTAATTTTTTTACCAATCGCCATACTTTCCTTTTGTTATATATAACAGCCGGAGAGTAAAAGGAGGCGTGAGCAATAAAAAACGTGCATTTGTGTAATGCAAGAAACTTCAAACCCTGTGACTGAACGTCTGATCAGCGCTCTCACAAGATAGCCCTTGTTGCATTCTGGATTAACTTGAGAACAAAAAATGTGGTTTGGTCAACTGTTAAAGAATACTTGCATGAGTGAATAGACAAATATCCTTCTTTAATTTCGTTTATATTTGCAGAAGAAGTGAGAATTCACAAATTTTCTGTTCTTTGTTGATTATGGAATTTGAGACACCTTGGAAACTAGGAAAAGGGAGACTAAGGGGCCACATGACCGAATGTATTGGCACTTTTGCTTCAGACTTTTTGTAGTCAAGAAATGTATTTTTTTTTTTTTTTAATTTTTCAGGAAATGTAATATTTTCCAAATAAAGAAAAAAAAAATTAATTTTACCAAAAATATTTTTCCTCTTTTAGTTATATATACTGTGCTTCTAAATTATGTATAGGCTATAAAAACTTTTCACAGTCAATGGCTTATTTAAAACTAATATAGATTCATCGAAAACAAAGTTTATTTAAGTAATATTTGAGATACAATACATCTTGCCTCTTTTCACAAACTTTAAAATGCATTTAATGTAGTTCGACCAAAGTTTTGAAGTTTCGTTTTTCATTCATCTGATTTTAGTAACTCGTAAATGTTTTAGAGTCGATTAATACTGCAATTCACGCATTAATACGCGTAAATAATTCACTTGATATATTAGTGTGGCTATCTTTGATCAGTTACATCTGTGACGTCAAAACAATTATTAAGCAATCACCAATCGCTTCATTATGTAAAGATAAATTATTAAACTTAATATACTAAAAATAAAAAAAAATTCACATTTATCTGATAAAATCGTAAAGAGTAAACAGGTTTTCCTTATCAAAACCCGTTGAAGTAGTTAAATACACACTGCTGTTACTACTGCGGCGTTTCCACACGGAACTAACAACTTTCTAAACGTTTCATATTGTATATGATAGCTCTACCAAATACGGCCACTCTTAGTTTTGTGCTGCTATAGAGCTATTTTTGCACCCATAGCTACCATTCTTGTTACATACGATCTACTAAATAAATCATCACTGCTCGTAGGAAGGTAACGTCAAATGAAATTTCATTTTAAATTCAACGAACGAAATAAACTGACTCGAAATTTTGATAAAAATCTAATTGTTTCAGGAGAATAAGGTAACGTTTGTTGAACATGACTGCTGCAATTTGGCTGTGGAGAATTCTTTTCCTTTCCTCCCAACTTCTAATATCTTGGACAGAAAATACTAAATGTGTGAGTAACGATGTATATACAAAACTCAAAGAAGTAGACAAACTCATCCATCAGAGTAAGTTTTCTAAGCTGTTTTCTAATTTAGCCAATTAATTTTATAAATTAATTTCATACATTTGTCAGTCATAGGATTTCCTCCGGAAATAAGTCAAATACCGACGGATTGTACCGATATTAAAAAGCAGGGTAATCAAACGTCTGGCATTTACAAAATAAGAATAATGAAAAATGAAACAACTGCTTTTTGTTTCAAAGTGTATTGCGATATGGAAACAGACGGCGGTGGATGGACGGTGAGTACAAATAAACTGCTGTGTTATCATCACTTTGTTTAATAGCAATAAACGCTTTAATTTCGCAATTACAGCATACTTTCGATTATCCGGGTTAAAGACGGGGAAATCATTCACTGGAAATCGAAAATTTATTTCTTATAAAGAAATAGTTTGGACAGTGTTCATCAGAAGCAGTAGTTCACAATTTTTACCTTTTCTGCTCTGTTTTATACAACAGAGGAAAAGTATGGTGATCGTATAAAAATATGACTTCGTAGAGTTATTCATTTTTGAACCTGATATTTTTAAACGTCGGGAATTGCAAAAATATTCGAGAATTTTTATTGTATGTAAGGAATGTTAGTGTGAGGGGTGGATTTTGTTCATCCTGTTTTAAGCTTAATAAGTTTTGTGTTTTTTGTCGAAAATGTCTGAAATTTTACATGGAGGTTTGTGTATTAGGGGAATGACGTTTTTAGATGTTTCTGGTTAAAATTCGACGAAGTAACGAGATAAAAAAGACTCGTGTATCATATTTGGAGTAGGGCCAGACTTAACGACAATTTTACTCGTTATTGGCATTTACAATTGTGTGAGATCCGAAGCATGTGCAAACCCAAATTTTTTCGTTCTTATAAATTTTCGACATATTGTACCTAAATTCGTCGCTCAACCGTTAAAATAATATCGCAGGAAAAAGGGATCAAATATCTGTTCAATAACTATTAAATTTTAAAACCTTTCTTTTTGAATGTAAACGTTCACCCATCTAAACACTTATTCTCATACTGTAAAAAAAGACTTAAAGTTTACAATTGAAGACCGATTTCATCATTTTATTTTGGTCCCTGAAACACCTTTCAACCTCCACACCTGCTAAAGTAACCTTTACCTTCGACAACATTGAATCACATACATTTTCCCAGGCATAATCAATATAAACCCGTTTCATCCCCCCCTTCGGGGAGTCTCTAACGGCCGACCAGAGACAAGCCAGACCCTACTGAGGAGCTATCGTCGAAATTTTTACTTATTGCAGTCCACGATGTTCAGTCGCGATTTGTCTTCACTCAGTGCCTCCAGCTACGAACCTCCGAACTCTCGTGGGAATAATCAAGAGGTATGAACTCGAGCGTTGAAACTTTTTCTCGGCTCTTTCATAGTATTCAAAAGTTAGGAAAAATCTCGATAGCCATCCGATGTAGATATTTTGTAGATAGCCATTTGTTATATAATAAATCTTTGTTTTCCTTGTTCAATAGTGTCATTTGCCCGTTCATAACCTACGCCTTAACGACGACCCCTCTTATTTCCTCCAATAGACCTGACAGAAACAAAAATTAATCGGGATTAAAGAGCGTAAAACAGCCACCCTCTGGTCGTACCTTTTTTTGTCGGCAACAGGTTTAACCAACCTGTTGCCGACAAAAAGAGGTACGACCTCGCCATACCTCCGGGCAGCTACCCACCATTGTTCATATAACCAATTCCTACTCTGAAAATTAAGCTTTTTGCCATTTTATAACAATTAAAACTATAAAAATATTTTAAATAAAGTATCATAACGGTTCATAAAGTATCAGCACCGACACACACGGTTTTAAATGTTGCCGAGAAAGTTAAGCGACGTTTTTGCTACATTTTTTATAGAAAAGCCATCGTTTGTTTACACGAAGTTTTTGTAACAAACATTTTTTTTGTTTGACAGAATTTTTGTTCGGCCAATTATGTGTAAAAAAGGATGCTGCGTGATTAATCCGCACACGAATAATCGGCAGCGAACTGTATTTTACGAAAAAATTCCCCTTTTTATGTTCAAATGAAGTAATCGAACCGTGGCCAGAGTCGACCCCGCGTGTATGATAAAGGTCTTCCTTGTTTTATCATTGTAAATACATCTGTGAAACTCGATTACGTTAAATATATTCGACTCGAATACGACATTTTAAAATAACTGATGGCAGAAAAACCGCAATACCTTATTGAAATGTTTAAAATTTGTTAAGAAATATTGTTCGTTACTTAGTTAATTTCATATTATTACGTTTAACTATACTAATTACATTTAAAAGGTATTCCAAAGAAGAGGAGATTTTAAACAACCTGTTTCCTATTTCTATAAAGATTGGAAAAGTTATGCCGAAGGATTCGGAAAACTGGACGAAGACTTTTGGTTAGGTAATCAATTCTAATTACACATGTTTATTCATTTGTTCAAATTTTAGCTGGTGAAACAAGTTTACTAAATACCCGAATGCATATTTCAGGCAATGAAAAATTATATTATTTAACAAATCAAGGAAACTATTCTCTCAGAATTGATATGAAAGACAAAGAAGATAATACTTCATACGCTCAATATCGAGAATTTAGAATTGGGAATGAAGAAAATTTGTATAAGTTACATGTAAGCGGTTATAGTGGTGAAGCTGGTAAGTTAAAGTTCGCTTAATAATTTATTGAAAGTTAATTGATAATTAAAAAACATTATTTAAAAAATTTTTGTCATTTATAATAAATTAAATATGATATATCATTATGTAACTACTAATACATACACGCCTTAAAAGTAAAATGGCAGCACTACTAAAGAATGCACATAGCCCAACCAGGTACAATATACTACATATAGTTGCTATGACCATGGTTACAGCGCACTTTGTGGCAACGACGGGTAATATCACTCTTACATAGCGAGTTACAATATTATAGCTGGTTGTATTTACGCAACCCAAATGTCACACAATTTGACTAAAAATAAAATGGAGGACGTGTATTCAATGTTTTTCAAATACGGCTTTGCTTCAGGCACATTGCAGAACCGGTAGGAGTGACAAAAATATGCAAATGATTTAAAAAAACAAACAAAGACATGGAACAGACACCCGTTTATTCAGTAACGAATATAATTCTCAAGAGAAGCTAAAAGCCGATGCACCGCATAATATATAATCTACTACTGCCGAATTAAAAAGTTTCATGATTAGTGTGAAAGATAGAAAAATTAAACCAATCATTATCTTCCTAAACTTCGAAAAGGACGTAGTACTAACAGTTAAAATAATTTTAAAAATCCGGCAACGAGTTACTTAACTACCCTGGAAACATCTGTTACGATATTTTATTACAAAGAACTGTAAACATTTTTAACTATTTTTAAATGGCAAAAAAACTTAATTTATAATGTACGCTGGGTTATATAAAAAATTGTAAATGCTAATAACGAGTAAAATCGTTATTAAGTCAGACACTACTCGACATGACACTCGACTCCATTTGTAACCTCACCTAATGGTCCAAAAATGTAAAAAACTAGAGAGTTCATTTTTGACAGATTGCCATACTTTCCCTCTGTTATATATAACAGCTGGGAAAATAAATAAAACTTATTCGAAAAGTCAAGAAGGATGGAAATGGATTGATCGTGTACAGCAGTTTGGCAGATCACCCATGTATATGGGTAATCTGTCAAAGGGAATCTGTGTCCAAAAATATTCTATGGGTTACTCACTCCTATTTAGATTTTACTTACATGAAGAAAACGTGAAATATGCCACGTCACCAGCCCGTTAGCGAAATGCAATAACACGACTATAATAACCGCAATAAGCTAATCTAATCAACGTTCTCTGGCTTTATCGACTTGTCCACAGATGAGCAAAACAGAAAAGACTTCAACAGAAAGCGACACATGGCAAAGAAAAGATAGATTATCCTAAAAGATACATGTATAAAAAGAAAAGATTGTGTACATCCGTATCGGAGAATTCATTTTATTATCAAAAAGAAACTTCAAAGTTTATACGAATTGAAAAAATAGATATATCGTGCAACAAACGCTATCTATATATTTTCTAAGAAATAGATTAATGCCATTCAGTAGATTGCACAAGTCGGTTTGTTGAAGGGAATTTTTTGTTACTAATTCTTCTAATTATAAGAGTTTAAAATACATTTTCTATTTCAAGTTGGTTAAATAAATATCATTTTGGGGTCATGATTACAGTTCGAAAAGTAACAGTGGTAATTTAAGGTATAATTCTTATTTTCAGAATATAAAATAATGATCACCTGTATGTCGATCCATAGAATATTCTTAATTTATTCTTTAATATTTGTCTAATTTTTAACAAAATTATTCTGGATATAGTCATATATCAGTGTAATATGTTTCATTGCTTTTACTTGTCTATATTTCAAATAATTTTGATCTAATTATAAAAACATTTTTATAAATAAATTTAGATAATTTTAGGACACTTTCATAATAAAAATTGTAATGAATTGCTTTTAGACCTTGGTATAATTAAATTAAATAAGAATCTACTAATGTGGAGTAGGACTTATTACATCAATGATAATAAACACAAACACTGAGGTATTAATGTAGTACATTTACTAAAACTAATGATGTGTACAGTAAAAATCGATTACACGAGTATAAACAATTAACATAAATAACCAAAATGCATTTCAGACTATTGGAAACAGTCCATCTTTAGTTGGTATCAATATAAAAAAGTTATTACACTTAACATTATACAATACAAACAAATCGCTATATAACGCTATGATCAGTGAACATTAAATGGGTAAAAAGAGACAGACGAAAGGCGGCGTCATAATGTCAACGTTTACGTCAAGGTAGCTTAACGTAGATGTTACTAATAATGTGCTCCACAAAAGTATAGAACTGCTGCAAGTTTACTAGACGAAGGTTAGGAATTACACATACGATGTAGCTACCTTTCTTATATTGTTCAGGATTTATAAAAACATAATTTGTCGAAACTTATAGTTTCTTATATTGCAGCAAATAGCATAAATTGTAAAAAGACTGATTTTCAGCGCTATAAAAGTAGAGAATCGAGTAAAAATAAATGCAAAAAAAAATTATATACTGTAAAATAGTTTAATTTAGTAATTTATTTGCGCACCTTTTTTTTACTGATAAGATCGAAAATGCAATTTGGCATGCTATCAACAATGTTTTTTATGATCGATGCTTCAAGGGAGTTCCAAACAGTGACAATTGCTTGTTTTAAGTGTTCAACATCGGTATACTAATGATTTTGATCATAAATTCGTTCAACCAGGATACCCCAAACGTTTTCTATAAAGTTGCAACCAGGAGAACAAACTGGCCAATTCGTTTATTTTCGTATCTCGTGATACATATATAGATGCATTGTCCTGTTGAAAAATAAGAGGAATTCTTCTGAATCTATGCTTGTATGGCAGCAATTTCTTCTCCAGAACTTGTTGATAGTGTGCACTGTTTATGCGACAGGTAACGAATGCCAAAACCAATTTTCTCAAGAAAAAACACCCAAACTATAACACTCCCACTACCGAAATTCCTTCGCGAGAAGTATTTGGGATTTTTTTTGTAAATCACGCCCATAGAACGCTAAATCATCTGCTCATCCAAATTAAATGTTTTTTCGTCCGAAAACATTATCTATACGACAAAAAGGTTGTTCTTTCTTGTTCTTTCATATTTTTTATTGAAAAATTCTTTTTCATATTTTTTATTGAAAAATTGAGTCGGGCAGCTTTGTTCCCAGTCTTAAGAGTAGGGGCACTTCGCATTCGAAACCAAATAATGTTGTTGTTGTTGCCGTGTAAAATCCTTCAGAACGGTTTCATGATGTACTTAAATACCTAAATTGTCCCAAATTTTACGGAATTAGTGCTGTGGAATTAGTAACGGCATTAATAATTCATTTGCGGTCTTGCAGGGTAAGCTTTGAAGGACATTCACTTCTACGCTTTGATCCATAATTTGCAGGATTTAAAAAATAATGCTGAACGATTTTTTCAAACGTTTGATGATGTTTGTTTCTGCCTGATGACTTAAATCAGTGCTTCTCAAAGCTTCAACTTGTCCTTCCGTAAATTCTGTAAAATGGGTACCACGAGGCATGATGAAAAAATACGTTCACACTTCAAATTTGCGAGAAAGATGGCGTTTCTATACTTATGTGGCAGTATAGAAATTGACTTCCTCGCTATTTCGCAGTCAGCCTGGACTGAGTTTCCTAAAATTATTGTGAGATCAGCGGATTAAGGGATTAATATTTATAAAATATTATAACTAAATATTTTATTTTCGATAAAATATTATTCACACAAAAGGATGTGCTTTCGTCGTTTCTGAAAGTGAAAGAAAATGAACTTTCTTTCTATGCCGACTTAACTCACTTTCATGTGATGATATATCAGTTTACCCTCTCTGCACTCGTTACATATCTCGTGCGTTCCTTAGACGCTATTGAACAGTGGTCCCAATAAATAGGGAGTTTTCCTGCCATTCCGGGCAGTTCGTCAGCAGTTCCTGAGAGTTCGAACCTGCCACAGAGCAATAGTTAATGAAAGGTTCAATCTGCCATAGGGCGCAGATTTCGATGGGTCCGAAGTCGCCATAATAGATAGATCACAAGAAGAGACAGCAACATAAAAGTCGGCAAATACCTTTTTATGCACACATAAAACCTACGCTTCAACATCCACATTTCTCTCCCGATCTTCTTTCAATGTAAAGAACGTACATCAACCGAAGACAAGAACAAGCCTCATAATGTAAAGGTAGTATAATTTGATAGAGCTATGTAAATTCTCACGCGCATGAATTAACATAGAAATATATTTCGATTTCTCTGTATATTGTATGTCTATTCCATTTGCTTATCAAATATTCTTATTGTTATATAATGGCTGGTCAAATAGTCTCGAACTTACTTGCGACTCTACTAAACTGAATTGTAAGATTCTTTCATTTAACATTTATCATAGTTTTTGTTTCGTGTGTTAATTCGCTGATAATCGATTAACTGGTGTCAGTCCTGACGTGATCGAGATCTTGCGATCTTAGATCTTGATTCGAACATTGTTCGAAATAGCCATCCTAAGAACATAGTGGTCGGATCTTACCGATTCGTGCCTAGTAAGTGGTCACCTCAGATCGCCACTTGACCCTCAGCTTGCCTCACATTATGTTATGTGCTGAATTACAGGTAAAAAATTTATTTCTATCTATTAGTTCATATTCTGACCTTAAAAGACCAATTATTTGAGTGGTTCTATACTTTTGTAGAGCACCTTCATAACCTTATTATATTTTATACCAACATAAGATGAACTACTTCCAATATTCCGAAATGCATTTTGGTTATTTATGTTAATTACTTATACCGTGTAATCGAGTTTTACTGTACACTCCTTTTGTTTTATTAAATGTACTACATTGATACCTGAGTGTTTGTGCTTATCATCACTGGTGTGATAAGTCTTCACTTATCTACTGCACCTTACCAGATATTTAGTAAATAGGAATTATCTTCTTTTTCTTCGGCGCTTTGAGTCTTTCTCATTCATTTAGACATGTTCAAAGCAACTTCAGCAGAGACATCGTATTCCTCCATATTACGTTTAATAGCCTTATTCCAGGTATTTCTAGTTTTTTTACTTCTTGCCCCTTCCATTGAAATTTCTAGCATTCTTCGTACTGGAGCTGTTTCTGATTGGCGTTGCAGATGCCGAAACCACCTTGGTCGATTTTTCCTCAAATTTTCTTCTAACTTCGTGATACCCAAGCTTCTCCTGGTCTATCTGTTTGCAATTTGTATTTAATATTTATAATAACAATAAATAACGCTTCTATCCTACAACTTTAATTTACATTGAATTAGTTATTCTAATAAATAGGGTTGTAACAAATTGCAGAGTCACATCAGGGCTGACTGGAATAAATAGACTAGATTTTACAGAAAATAGCCTTTAATAACTAACCCCAATTAAATTTTGGTAAGTATACATTTTTGATACAAAGAGCTTTCATCAATTTCCATACATGCAGTACAACACCAACATACATTAATACAATCATTACACAAGTAGTGAACCAAGACAAAAAGGTCATATATTTTATAGTTATTAATGTATGTACAGGTACGTATGTATGTATTAATAACTGTATTAATGTTTGCTGGTGTTGTAATGTATGTATGTAAGTTGATGAGTAATCTTTGTATCCGAAATGCATTGTTACTAAAATTTGATTAGAATTATTAAAAGATTATTTTTTGTAAAATCTAGTGTGTTTATTCCAGTCAGTCCTGATGTAATAAGATCTCCAACTTATTACAGCCCTATTTGTTAGGATAAATAATTCAACCTAATATCTTTAACGGACTTGTTTTTCTTTACTGTAACATCGGTATTTCATAATCTCTTTGTTCTGCTACACATTGCCTGATAGAGCCTAGCAGAATCAGGCATAAACTTTGTATATTTCTTAATAAAATTGAAATGAATTAAAATCGAATTCTTCTTCACCTTATTTTTCCAAGTAACATCATTCATCTCTCTCAGCATCTGTATTTCTGCATCATGCACTCTCTGTACCTGCAATTTCTACACAGCCCAGCATTCTGAACGTATAACATTGCAAGCCTATTAACCATTTCATAAAATTTTGCTTTTAATTTTAAATGCATTCTTCTGTCACGATGTACTTCAATAATTCTAACCATTTAGTCCAGCAAGTACTTTATCCACACTTTCCGAATTAACACATTAGTAAAGTTTGTCATTTAATTTAACTTAAGCATATTAAAACACGAAGTTTTGAATGTCATTTATATTACGTAAATGACAATTAACACGGTTTTTATTAATTAATTTGATTTTGATTCGACTGCGGCGCTTACCGAAAAACTGAACTTGTACCTTTCCCGCATGCACACTGAAATGTAATTTAAATAGCTACTCTATCGATGATTTATGGCGTGGTGTCTAATAATGCGGTGATATTAGAGGTATAGGAACGTAGGAAGTATAAAAAAGTTGACTGATAGTCAACTTCCTATACATTTTATGGTAAAGAATGCCTTATGCGCATGAATTTTGATTTAATAGAACTTTAATAAATAGAAGCTATAAAATAGTACATCGTGACGGAAACTAAAATTTAAAATTCAATGTAGAATGTGAGATATCGAGATCAATGTTCACCTCATGTTAAGCCAATGAGAAAATTTTGCATTGTAAAACATATACAGTACAGTGCACGCTACACGACAATCCAAACACGGCAAAACCCTTGTCAAAATATTAGACCAAACTTATTTATTTGGAAAACTGAAGCAAATTTCCAAGAACAGAAAAAAAGAAGCGAGATGCGTAAACTGCTTAGTAAGATTTATTTTCTACTGTTAAATATTGAAATGGTAAGCATAAAGCTTTACTACCAACTTCACAAACCTTATTATGTAAGAAAAGTTTTAGAAGAGAGGTGAGAATCGACTGCTTATGTACTGTGATGAGTCACTTTAATTTAGCGCACACTTGATCTTACTTGAGTTCACAAACAGTCACTGCGCTTCAGTCGGGGGGAAGTTCGCTTTTCGTAAAATCACTACATCCTTCAACGTCATGATCGTACTGTATTATAAATTATTACAACATTATAAATTATTGTTTTGCAAATTTCTTAAATTTTAAATGTTAGTAATAATTACGCCATTAAATATTTTATAAAAGTCATGTATTTTAAAATATTATTACAATGAAAATTAAAATAATAATTAAAACGCTTGCTTTTTTGTATATTACAGGAGATAGTCTTATACATCACACCAACATGTTTTTCAGTACATTTGACAGAGATAACGATAAAGCAAATACTACTAATTGCGCCCAATATTACGAAGGTGCATGGTGGTATACCAAATGCCACTATTCGAATTTAAACGGATTATATTTGAATGGCAAGAACGAACTGAAAGGCAAAGGCATAGTATGGTACACTTGGAAAGATTTATATTATTCATTACCCGTTGTTGAGATGAAGATTCGTCGTATATAAAATTAACTATGTTTGTATAAAAATATCAAATATGAAAATCATAAACGTATATTGTAGATATAAAGCGTTTTATTCAATAAACAATTAAGTAATATATATATATTATATTCTCTTTTTTCTAATCTCATACTAGAAAGCAATAGGAGTATTTTTTAACCTTTTGTGACAATGCGCGAAGAGCCCGCTTAATGCTTCGGCACCAGAAAACCGAAGGGTCGACATCGGGTGGGTGTAGACCGCAATAACAAATTCGTCAGGACTGACACCACTGTGTCTTTATGGACAGATTCATTTTTTTTTCCTTTCATCCTAGAGGTCAATAGTAGCACTCTTTACCCTTTCATATGGAAGATTCAATCAGGCCGGGGTATGAGCACAGTCGGTAAGGGACTGATTAACATTGTCATAACCGGTACACAACTAAGAAGAAATTATCGTGATTCGATACTCTACAGCGTCAGATTGAACCTTCAATTCTACGAAACGTAAAAGTTTAACTGTCCCATCAGATATTCCTTAACGTTTTAATACCACATTTCGAATTTCATCCGGGCCTTGCATTTAAATAATTTTTTGTGGGCTATTTGATTTCTGTTCTCTAAATTTTTGTAAGTGCTTTTTTGAACTTTTTATTTAAAAAAAAACTCTATAATATTATGGAGCCTAAAAAGAGGAGTGTCAAGAACTGTGCTCACCGTAGAAATCAAGTAAGAGATAATAGCCAAGGAAAAAAGTGGGCGCAAGATGTCTAATGTTGCTAGGCAGTATGGGTTGAACAGGTCTACAGTTGGCACAATCTTAGCTATGAAAGGTATATGAAGTAGTCTCAAGCTACTAATGGAGTAATGAAAATCACATATGAGAAATAAAGAGTATTTTAGGGCTCATAATAAAGTCTGAAATTGATCTGACAAAAGAAGAACTCCAAGAACTCTGAAATGAAGAATACCAAGAAATTCAACGAGATGTGTTTTATTTTGAAAAAGAGGAAGACGAAGAAGGTCCAATGTCGACATCTGCTACTAAAGATCTTTTGAAGGAGTAGGAGGATGTAAGAACAACGATCATACAAGTGGCATCTAAACCAGAATAGTGTTAATGAGGTTGGGGATCTCTACAATTAGGCTACAATACTCTTAATTACTTTCGAAAAGTCCTGAAGAAAAAAGAAAAGCAATCGACATATTTTTATTATTACATATAAATAAACGTAGTAAAAAAGTATATATTTTTTATTTTTGAAGTCTCTGGAACGAATTAATCAAATTCCCATAAAAACCTATGATAAATCGATAATTGGCTAACTAACAATTCGGATAACGAACAAAGTCTTGGAACGTTTTATGTTTGTTAACCCACTGTATTTGTTTAATTTAGTGAAATTTCTTATCCTTGAACTCATTCCAGCATGAAAACACTTTTGGGAGTTGTAACTTACTAGAAGAGTTGTAACTTACCTAATATAAATATTAAAGTAGATATTAAACTAAACTAATTTTAATCAAAACTCCAATTGTTATTACTGTTATACTTAATAAAACAGTCACGTTTAAAATTCGTTTTCGTGCAATCGACTTATAGTTGTGACTTAAATGTGCAATTGTTATGCGCCTTAACATGTGCTTTAAAAGTTAATCTTATCATTTTCATATTATTAATAGCAAAGACGAATTTGGGTTACTATAATAATTTTATTATTACAATAATTAATTTGTGGTTGCAATAAGCAAATTCCATTATATTCCAGAAATGTTATTGTTTATTAATAACACGCGAATTCATTATATTATTTTAAAATCGAGCCATATTTATATAACACGTTTTTCATTAAATAATTCGTATAAATAGATTTTAGCTGATTTCGATTGTATTAGTAAACTAAATGTATATTTATTTTAAACATTTAAGTGGTGGCAATATTACATCTGTATCGATAAACAATAAATTGTGCAACATTATTCCTGTATGATTTTTATTGTTTTTTCGATACTTTCAAAATTAATTAATATACAATAGTTCAACAAAGGAAATGTAAGAATAACTAGTAATAAATACTCTGAACAATAAAAGTAAATCTAGCATTGTGAAGGTTTATATGTTAGATTTTCTATTTTAATTTGTATTGTAAATACAGAATGGAACAATTACCAAAGGAATCAACAGTAGGAAACTTCACGTGGTAGAATGTATTTCAAACAGGACAAATCGATTAAATCCTGTTCGATTAAAATACAGTCGACCCCCTATAACACGGTAGATACGTTCCGTTTTTATAAAATTGATGTTTTAGGAGACCTTGCCAATCACAGCCCGACACGTGTGAAGTTTACGGACTACGGCTGTTTGGAAGGTTTTCTTCCATGAAATTAATCGATTCTAGACTAATTCGACTCAAATTTTCCAAAACATGTATAATTTTTTCGAAAATAATCTATATAAACTATGCTATAAACAAAAAATTGTAGGATTACTTACCGAGTGTGCACCGTTCGATGTCGCCATTGCTTAAACTTGTTTTCGTCGCGGAGCAGCGCACCAAACGGTGGCCGCGATTTCTGACAAGTTAGTTTTCTGCGAAAAATTCGTTGAACTTTGGAGACATCATTAATATAAATAATTTTTCTGGCCGTTGAATAAGAAATGTTTTTTTCACAAGAAACGTATAAAATTACAGTACTGTATTAGACTTACGGTACCTAATTTACATGCTGTACAGACGATAGTAAACTCAACTTACTCGCCTAAACTTTCCGTAGCGTAGCACTGGACGGCGGAAAGTATATATATAATTATAATAAAGTTAAAATAAATTAAGTTAATATATAATTATATATATTGTACCTAATTTATATATAATACTGTACAGACGATAGTAAACTCTCCATAGCGTGAAAGTAGTTCTGCTTGTCTACTATTGTCTAGATTTGACCAATCCTGTCGCGACACTAGTCGGCGATGAAGTTTTAGCGAATTATAGGAGTTTTTCAGCTTGTTTGTACGAATACTGTCGCAATTTTTTCGCTGTCTGATAAAACTCCGAACTATAGGAACCCGTGTTATAGGGGGTCGACTGTACACATTCAAATATATGCGCAGAATCATTACTTCGATTAACTAAACATCAAAGAACAATGAACAATAACAAGGATATTCATAAATGTCCATTGCTTTTATTCTGTCCACTGTTATCTGCTATAAAAGTCTTTGCCATTGATGTATTTTATCCATGCGAATGCATCAACGTCCGTGAAAAAGATCCTTCATCGAAATATTTTCAACTATACCCGAACACAATCGAATTATTTCTTTGGCTGAAACCATGCGAAGTTCTTATACGAATTTTCAAACCAGATTTGTTCTGCGTACGATCGATGAAGGCTTATAAAGACACTCGCTCTATGCTTGCATCATCTTTCTGTTTGTTTCTATTTGCGTCGCTTCGCACTTAAGTATCATCAAGCAAAACAAATTTTTAATATTTCAACTAGAGACAGACGGTTAACAACTTTAAAAACTCCCAGAATTATTTGTATGTCAAAATTATTTTTATAACAGATGCTACGTTTTGGTAATTATAGTGTATTATAGAGGGACGGTGAGTTCGTTTATTAAACACTATCTAATACTACAAAAATTATGCAGGTGAAAACCGTGAAACAGATATGTTTCTCCTGTATAGTTTGTTATGACAGGTCAGTGCCATCAAACATAAATATTTGTCCACATTTGTAACATTCATAATTTAATTTTCCAGCAATCGATATAGTTTTAAAACCATATTAGGCATATAAATAGTTATCTTGGTTACACTGTTCAGTTATTGTAGCTGATACACAAGGCTTTCGAACCGATAGTTCAAGGAGAATTTTATTCATATAAATCAAAAAGGATCAAATATGGAATACTAGCGTATACTAATTTAAGTATATATTATCATTAGTTAAATATTCGCCATATTCATAAAGTAAAAATTCATTTAAATTTATAAGATAGATCAAAAAATTTCAAATATATTATTCAAAATGCAGATTGATAATTAGATTAATAAAAAGATTAGTAAATTCTAGAGCTTTTTCTGTCCTTCGTGCATCTATCTCATTCATTAAATGTAGTTGTAAATGATGCTACCAAAGTAACAGTTAATTTTTTAACATTGTACAAGAATTCTACACGTTTTTTTCTACATCCCCATAAAGATGGAATATACGAAATAGGATTATCACCAGTTTAACATTGAAATCCGTAAGTAATATCAGATGGGAGAGCGAAATAAAAATATCAAATATTTTAATGGATTTTTTTAACACTCCTGTCGACTATACAGAACTATCATAAAAACATACCAGTAAATTCTTATCGGTTGGGTTAAGTTATAAATCTACTCGCGATTCACGTAATCGGGCGAGGACAGCCAAATATCTAGCGGGCAGGCGGCTAACAGCCCAGAACCGGTCCCGGATAGAATTAGATGCGGTATACGTGTAGCTTCCACCCAAGGTCCTAGGCTTCCACCAGCTAAACCGAGTGAGGTTAGTGCTCTGTAAAGCGTATGCGCGAATCTGGCTGTTTGGAAGCTGACAATACAGCGTTTCCACTCCGCCACTAATATTCGAATATACAATAGCGACCTTATTTTTTTCACGTGTAGTGTAGAAATTAGTAATAAGACACATAATGAGGTTATAATAAAATATTGTGCGATTATTTTCATATAAATAAAATTAATATGTATTTATTTTTTAGAAAATACAAGGTAAGCGGCGCATCCATTGCTTCCAATGACGGCACGCCGCTGGTGTGCTCTATTTTTCATCAGTTGTACAAAACGATATTCTTCCCACCATTTGTTAGTATTGTTAGTCTCCAACCAAGAACTAAGCATATTTTCTACGTCTTGATTATATCTCTCTACTGAGCCCTGACTTTGTGAGTGCCTGGGCTTTTTATGCATCATTTTTAACTCAGGCCACACTCTACACATTTCTTTGATGGCATTATTGGCGAATTCTCTGCTGTTATCACTTCGTAAAATACTCGGTGCACCGAAGATTGTAAGAATATCTAAAAGAAGTAATGTTACATCGTCAGCCCTTTTAGTTTTTATCGGTCGTAGTTGAACGAATTTAGTCAGGTGGTCTTGATACCCGAGTAAAGTTTATATTGTTCATCGATTTGCGACTTCAAATCTATACGATCGACTTACATCACATTACATAAAATTGGTTTATTTACTAATTCTTTTTTATGAACGTTTACTTTTTTCTGACAGATTCCATATAAGTTCAAATAAATTATGATCATCTCTTATGTAATATTTTTACATTTCGTATTTAATTCCTTTTTCATACGGTTTCTACCGCCATGGCCAATATCAATAAGGGCGTCGTACAATATCAGAAATATTTCTTCAGTGTGACGTAATATTTAATCGCATAACCTTCTTTTACAGGCACAATTAATTTTTCTATTTCTCCGATAGATACAACGTCATATCAATGTAATCGCTGATATTCTTCCGAGTAACTTTTTAGAATTCTTGTAAAAAGTTACTGGGATTACTAAGATGTTCTAGAAACAACATTCATTTTTGACTCTCACTTTTTGTATCATTGGCAAATATGCCGAATTTGTAAAAATTTGACTATTCCTATCTTTCTCTGCTATTAATTTGTTTACTCCGTTGTTGTAGCGATTATTCATATCAGTTAATTAATGATTGCTTCATGATTATTACTTTTTTCAAAAAAGAAGACATTGTTTTAAGAGATTTTAAGAAACAAAAGTAAAATTAAAACTTCGCACGATTATCTATTAATGAAATAAATGTAAAATTCAGTACGAAATGCAATACACTCGCGGAACTGAGATGCAAGAGCTGATTGGCTTCTAAATTTATTATAATCACTTTTTCCGACGAGGTGGTAGCAGTATTCATAATGATCGGTCAATCTGATAAATTATCTCAAAACACCTGAAATTTTGCTTGTTATTATTTATAATGCCAGTATTAATCACTTGGTCCGTAACATATCTAATAACAATAATAAATTAAAATACTAATAAATAATACAACAACAACAATTATTATTAATTTAACAATAAAATTAATATATAAGTCAAAATTGCAACCGAACAAATTAGAACTTTGTTATAAATCGCGGAAAATGCCAACTTCCACTACGGAAGATGATTATGTGTTTCTCAAAAATATAGAGGGAGATCAAGTACGTGTACCTTTGTATACATTCAGAAATTCTTCATACGTATTTATGAGAAATTTTTTAATCGATCCTCTCCTAAAACCTTTTGTTATATATTTACCAGCCTCAAGCCACGTATTATTAGCATTAAAAAGGTATGTTTTTTATTTATCAATCGATTAATTACGTATTTTTATTCGTTCATTATGTATTTTTAGATAATACTGAATTAGTGCGGTGAAACTTATAATGTGGGTATTTTATTATATTTTTAAACTCTATATTTTATTTACTACAGCTTTTTATCATGGAAAGACATGTCATTTGCGTCGGTAGCAGTTGCGATGGAAACGTATCGGTTTAGCAATGTCTACGATATGTTCGATCTTAAGGAAGTTTGTACAAATTACATCAGGTCAAAAATAAGTCTTCAATATGTATGTTCAATCCATGATTTTGCGTGTGAACAGAACGACAGACTTTTACAATACGAATGCTGGATATTTTTCGATCGCCATTCGGATGAAATATTTCATACTCAAGATTTCTTGCAATCCAAAGAAACAACAGTTATGAGATTCCTCTCGCGTCCTATATATGATTCATTAAATGAAGTAAGACTGTTTGAAGCCTCTTATAGTTGGGTGAAAAATAGAGTTACGAGAGAGTTTCCTGACTTAAAAAATAGAGAATTGGAAGAAAAAATTCGTACAGAAATGCGACCGTTTCTTTCGAAAATTAGGTTTCGTGCCATGACAATAGATGAGGCAGAGACTTATGTTTTCACTAAACACGTCTTGACAGAAATGGAAGTAAATTCTATTCGAAGTTGTCTCCAGAATCACACTTTCTACAACTACCCAGAGTACTTTTGCCCATATATAAACGCAAGAAATAAAAAAATGTATGATGCGTTGTTTACGTATCAAAACCAGCTTAATCTTCTCAAAGAATTAGAAACCACAATTAAAATCGATGTAAACACCCGGTTCAAATGCGAAATATTTGTGAGAGAAGATTGTTATATTACAAATTTCACGCTTCCAATAACATTTGATTATCCAGAAAGAAAAAGAGTAAAACTAATTGGCCATTCGATATCACAGCAAAATAACATTTTTTCTACAACTTTGGACTGTAGCTCTCACGGAAACGTCAGTTTACCAGAACCGATATTTCTAACAAAGAATTCAACTAGTTATCTAGAACTCGAATTTTTATACCCTAATAACGTACATATTACACAGCCTTTCAGTTATTTCTACATCACAAACAATAGCGACATTCAACCAGAAAACATCGAACCTTTTAATAATTACTACCTTGAAGTTGTTCTTTACTTCTAAAAATTGTAAACTGCATTCACAAAATTTTAACAAAAACGAAAATTAAAATAAAATTTTATTAAATACTTTCATCGGATCGGTTGTTTTTATTATTATCTACTCAGAAGGACAGTGGTGTTTAATCAAAGTTTGGCCAAAATGCATGTGTCGTAAGTGGGTTGTCAACAAATACTTTGTATATTTTGCATATACAAAAAGTGGGACTATTTCTATCGTTTATAAGTGTCGTGATAGGCTTCGGAACTGTGGGTGGTTCGAATTCAGCCCGGGGGTTAAAATTTGTGTATCACTGCTCTAGAATTTGAATTAAAACGCGCTAAATAACAAGTATTAATTATATATTAAGTCAAGAAAAACAGATTTTTACCGTGACTTGATGATTGTCTGCATTTGGAAGCAATTATTATAAGTTCATTCATAACGCGCGATATATTCTCTTCAAAATGTATAAGTGTAAATAATGATATTTCTTTTACAACTAAATAGAAAAATACACGTACGTTTAAAGCAACCTTAAAAACTTCATAATTTAAAGCAAAGTTCTCTTATTCTAAATTATATATGAAATAGTTTTTGAAAGAATAAAAGAAATGAAACAATTGAGTTGCAATTCTTATAAAATCAAAACAAATAAATTTTACAACTTCTACTAGAAAATGGTAAAAGTTTTTCTTTATTTTAATGCATTTCTTGTGATATTGGAAACACTTGAAATTGAATTCGTCTGCAAACAATATTTAAAATTGTTTTCAGCAAAAGAAATAAATATTTTGATGCTATTAATTATGAACACAATGTTCATTTCCTAGTGCTTAATTCTTTCAAGCAAAGAAATTTTTTGAACCTGGATATTTTCATTTGTGAACAACACCAACACTCAAACGCAATATTTAATTTATAATTGACAGTGTTCGTAATATGTAACACTGTAATAAGTATTGAACTGTTATACGTCGATTTCTTTCTTTATCCCTGTTTCTCAACTTCACCAAAGTTTAAAATCATTTTTTCACGTAAATTCTGTGTTGTATATTATATGCCGTATTGCATTTTATTGTACTTTTATCTCGTTAGCATTATTCTGTTTGCTTTGATAATAACTTCTTTTGAGAAATTAAACTCTTTGATAATTTGAGTTATTGAAGAAAAAAGAAACTTTCGTGATATTGAAAAAGTCATTCAGAGACGTTGGGAAATGTGGGAGTATATTCAAGAATTACATTCGAGTACAGAGCTTGTTTAACCGATCTGTTATGCATGTCTTATTTATTATACATGTTTCCTCCCATCAATTGCGATTTTGTTTCACACAAATCTTATATTTCGTGTCATAGTTTCGATATTCTCATTCACTACGTTTTTTTCCTGTATTTTGATTTCTTGTGAGGTTTCAAGACTTAGTTGTGTTTGTAGTTGTTTTTATGAAGTTTTTATATTTTTCGGAGTTTTGTTTATAATTTTACGAATTGTGTTCTTCTCTTGTATTCAGATTTATAGCGATTTCAATAGATGCAATAACTTGTCATCTGTCTCATTTCGTCTTAAATACAAATTGGAAGTATTTAATTTCATTTACTTCTTGTAAATTAATAATGGTATTTAAGTTATATTATTTTTCAGATCTTAAATTTTATGAAGAGATTCGAAAGAACTCTAATTCTTATATCCATTGGAGGACTATTTAATATCAAGAAGAACACTGTAATTAAAGTAAATAAATTCACTCATTTCGAAATTTTTCATAAACACAAAATAGTTTCAATGGTTACTGAAATTTCTATATCAGATATATATATATATATAATATACTATTTTACAAATGATAAATAAGTATTATTTACTCATTGCTGTGTTTTCACTTATTAAACTTGGTATAACAAAGAATGTTAGTTGTTAGGAATTTGATAAAAATCGTATTTTAGCAGTCGTCGACGTTTTGCGTGAATTATGAGAAATGGTAAATATAGAATCAAATTCAATCTACAGAGTCTCCCAAAAGTTTCCATATATACAAAGGTAAAATGTAACTTTATTCACAAAAGATTAAAATGTCTGCATTAAGAATTGTGTCAGTGGATTGATGGAGTAAGGCAACAAAACACATGGATGATCTACCATTGGTGTAATTTATAGCAGGACTTCCTTTGTGAAAAGTGGATTCTGTTTAGGTGAGAGACACACGAAGAAAATCTAAAACACTGCATGGTGGCTAGCCCATTGTTCAGGCACGAACTATTGAAACTCTACCTACACACATAAATACTTAATACACATTTTTTAAAATTCTTTTTACTAAAAGTGTGAGAACGGAGTCTTTCTGGTATATTAAACCATTTGTATATGCAAATCAACATACAATATGTTTTAATTAAATATTTCTAAAGCCTTCCAATTATCAGTGGTGTCCACAAATAGTTTAATATACCAGATACAAATAATTTAATATACCGGAAAGACTCGTCTCAGTTCTTATTTTTTAAATAAAAATATGAATTAAAAAAATGCGTATTAAGTATTTATAAGTGTAGGTAGAGTTTCAATAGAAAAAATTGCAGAAATTAAATAAAAATTAATGACCAGAATAAAATAAACTATATGTTTGTAAAATATTTCAAAAAACGATTCATAAAATAACAATGTTATTGTTTTGCATGTGGCATTAATGAACGACGTTGCGTTACGGTAAAATGACAGAACTTTCTTATAAATAAATAATTTTATTATATTTTTTCCTATTTTCTTTTATTTTCTATTACCATTCTTTGTTTATGTAAGAAAAACTCGTTGATTTGATGATATTTTCAACGTAAGTTTTAGCATTTTAGTCATTCAATCGTAGGCAATGTCAATCCGAATTAGTTAGGTAACAAGTGAATACCTTCAACTATTAAAATTTATAAATGATATTTCGCGACATTTTTTATACTCGAAATATGTCAGTAAATGTATGTAATTGAATAACTTAAAACATGGCAGCGCCAAATTTCACCTCCAATAATGAAATTTGAGGTAGTTTTTTAACGAAAATCAAAATTGTAAACTAATACCAGTATATCAACGAAATATAATCGAGATTTATCTAATGTTTCTTTTGACAGAGAATTCTAAACACCTAGAAAGATATTCATCTAAAATCTGTTATTTGTTTCCATTTTTTACGAATTGCTTTTACCGATAAACATAATTCTATTTAGTCGTGAATATATTTTTATTAAACATGTGACATACGTAACAGTAACATTCTTATTTAAGTTTGAAAAACGTAGTTTACATTCGAATATAATCAACTACTACACAATCCAACATAAATTGATTTTTGACGAGAGTATGTCTCTGTCTCGTCTTAACAATCGCGCTGCTGACAACGGCTGTACACCTTAGAGGTATGAAGGAGTTCATGACAGGAGTTGCAATTTGGCACGGAGTGTTTGGTGCCCAAATCATGCGAACAGAAAATAAATCAGACTTGTAGATAGTCAAGAGATTGAAAACCGTGTCAAAAGAAAATACGAAATGCTGAGATTGTTTCTACAAACAGGCGCGAGTGCAAGATTTACGCACGTATTTATCGTGCTTTCCGAGACATAATCTCGTCAGAAAAATGGCTTCGCCGCTTAACTTCTTATATTTATAGATATAAAATGAGATAGACGAATATGTTTATCATGCGCAAATTACAATGCTACACTTAATTTAATTATATTATTTAGCTACAAAACGTAGAAAACCGAAAATAATTTTAAAAGTGGCAATTACACACACACACACAAGTAGCTCATCTTTACTCTGAAAATAAAGCCCTGATGTTTTTTAATAGATAAAAACATATAAACAGTTTAATAAAATTTAATAACAGTTGACGCCACCAATTAGTAACGACTTGCACCTGGTCATCATACTTTTCTTTTAAGAATAGTCGTGCCGGTTATCATCGGGAGAAAATTTTTGAATTGGAAATAACGTCATATCCGGTTTGCGTCGGAAGTTCATATATAAAGGCGTACTAATCCCTATCGGCCTATCGGGACTCATCTTTCATCTATTTAACTCAGTTCTCTAGAATAAGGATAGAAAGACAGAATGATAAACGGACAGACGAACGATAGTGAGAATTTATAGGTCTACAATTTTTTCAAATGTCAGCACAATTAATTCATTAATCATAATATTTGCAAGGAAGTAAAATAATGAGAAATTTGTCTTATTGTTTCTATTTTCTTTTAAATATTTAAATACTTGCGTACAGTTTACTATGCAAATTATTGTAAGAAATCTTGAGAAGTTTTTATGCAGAATGTATTAATAAAAATTAATTATTTCGTATGATAGTAAAAGTTTCTGCAAAGAAAGTACCTAATGTTTCATTCATAAATTTCTTTACACGATTATTTTGTAACGAACTACACGTTACAATAATATAGGCCTATAACCGAAATTTTTTTTTACAAAGGAATACCTCTCTGCCAACTTGTTATTTTCTCATGGCTTTTTAAATATAATTGGGCTCAATTTGAATAACTTATAAATTCCCATTGTCGTCCGTCCTCATGTTTTTGCTTAATTTCCAGAATAGGGCCTAGAATTAAATAGATGGAAGACAAAAGCAGATATGGAAACCGTTGGGGCACGATAAACTATATACCAACGTCCAATGCACATTATTTCAAATTCAAAACTTTCCTCTTGAAAGGTGATATATGACCTGCACGATCCTATTGTTAAAAAAAGGGCAAGCCACTACTAATTTGAGGTAAAGAGCATACACTGTATTTTAAATTAAATAAATTTAAAATTGCAGCCCTGCATTATGACAATATCACAATAAATAATGCTTATATAAAATTAACTTTTTATAACAAAATATTTATATTTAAATATTTAAAAGAAGCGTATACAATAACTATTGTACGTAAGAGGTACTAAAAAAGTAATGCCGTAATGTACGTTAGCATAAAACTTTAGTAATATGTAAATTTAAAACAAACAGTAATTAAAAGGTTAAAGATAATTATATAATATTTGATGAGTTTCAGAAAATTTCATAAATTTCTATAAAAAATTAATAATCG